TGTTCACCCAGGACGTGACGGGCTGGTACGAGTCGTGGACGTAAAGGTGAAGAACACCACGCTACGTCGCCCAATAAGCAAGATCTGCCCGCTGGAAGCATATCAGTGAGTTACTGAGTAGCAACAGCATTGGACCATCGCCATTGACGTATGGTCATGTCTTTTCACTCTCTTGCTTCTCTCTTGCTTCTCTCTTGCTTCTCACATGTTCTTTCATGTTGTTTTCATTTCTTGTTCCGTTGCCTATCATCTTTTTTGATTTTTTGTTTTTTGTTTCTGTTTGCTTGAGCACTAGCAACTCAGGCAATCTTTTCTGTTTTTCTTTCATTTTTCCGCTTAGAGTGTTGGTGATGTATCTCTCCTTAGACACATCAGGAAGGGGAGAATGGCGTGGCGAGAATGCCACGGAGTTCAGTCTACACGTTCATGTCATGTTCAGTTGCGATCTGCTTTCTCTTCCTGATTGCCATTGCGGTCATGCTGTCTGTTCTCTGTGATTTGACCTTTATCTCCTGGCATCTTACTGTCTTCATGTGCTCCCCTTGGGGGCACCTTGATGCCTGATGTAATATCGAATTTGTACAGCGGGCTACCATTTAGGTTCCGCTGCGGTCGGTTTCGCTGAGCCAGCCTTGGCACAGTGTAGCCTTTTTGTTTGTGTTCTTGTGCGTGTGGCATGAGGTTTTTGGCTGTACCTTTGTTTGGCTGCGCTGCCTTTTGTTTCCAGAGAGTTTTTCTTTGCACATGTAGTTTCTTAGAACGAAATAGTCGGTTCGTGACATGGCGTTCTACTTCTAATCAACCAAAAAGTCTTTCGTGTTGTGAGTGACTACGTCGAGTGTGAGCTTGGTATACGGCCCATTACGGGACTGCGTGCGGCAGAAGCCTAGCGAAACACCAAACGGGCTCCCCGTTGTTACTTCCAGCAGCTTCACTCTCCCTGCGACAGCGGCTATCAGCCTCTCTCTCCATCGTCGACAATTATCACAGATTCAACATTCTACATTTATCAGCACTATACTGGGTGAATATGTCTCGAGACGAATTTAGCGGACCAACAACGCTTTGCTGGAGAACCTTCAGGGTACCTGGACGGGTATAGAAGACGGGATCGCTCATGACGTTGAGAGAACATAGCAAACAACCTCCTCTTTGATTGAAAATTGGCCGAAAAGTGTGTGAAATGTATGTGCGCAGATGCATTTCCACTGGCAAGCTAATCCCTCATTACGTCATCAGCGCTCGCTTGGCGAAAGTCAAAAGTCGTCTTCCTGCTCGACTCGATCGCTTCTGGAGACTCGTTCTTGTTCGAGGGGTCTTCTCTTTCACCTACCTTCGTCTTGCCATCGAAAACTCGGCGTCGAAAATGAAGCCGGAGTGCCCCTTTAAGACTGTGTGTGCGTGTGTGTCAGGGGGTGTCTGCCGTTGAGCGGTTCAAATAGCCAATTCAGTCATCTTTCCAAGACTCCTTTTGAGTCTCTCTCCCCTCTCTCGGGGAGACCCGCATGACCAGTTTTGGCAGTGAGCTACAAGACTTAGTAAGTGTGTGTGGGTGCGTGCATGAGGGCGGGCGGGCGGGTGTGCTTGCTTCTGTGTATACTTGTGGGTTGTGGGTGTGTTTGTGTTTGTGAGGGACAAGGGGTGTATTCGTGGACAAGCGTCACAAGGTGTGTGTGTGTGTGTGTGTGTGTGTGTGTGTGTGTATGTGTGTGGGTGTGGGTGTGGGTGTGGGTGTGGGTGTGGGTGTGGGTGTGGGTGTGGGTGTGGGTGTGTGTGTGTGGGTGTCTGTGGGTGGATGTTTGCTTCTGTGCATAATTGCGGGATTGCGGGTTGTGTGTGTGTGTCTTTGTGAGGGACAATGGGTATGTGTGTGTGTGTGTGGGGGGGGGGGGTGTTTACGAGGGACAAGGTGTGTGTGTGTGTGTGTGTGTGTGTGTGTGTGTTTGTGGGGGACAAGGGGTGTGGGTGTGGATGAGTGTGGACGAGGGGTGTGTGGGGGGGGGGGGTATGTGTGTGTGGGGGAGGGGGTACGTGGGCAGGGGGTATGTGGGGGAGGGGTACGTGGGGAAAACAAATGGTACAGCATGTCAGGAAAATCCCTAGCAGGGAATGTCGCTTCTGTAGTATGTGTGCAACGTATCCTGCTAGACAGTCACCTGCTTTACAGCTTGATGTTATTAAGAACATGAGTTGCCTGTAGATACCAGTCATGATGTCATTATGAGTCATGATTATTATAACAATGACCTCATTCTTAAAGGGGAAGTTAACGCAAAACTTAAAATTTCACCAGTTGTAGTCTTCGGGGTGCCGAGTCGAATGGTCTTGGTCCGAGAAAGCTGAGACGCTCCCTTCCTACTTGAATCCCAATCGAACTCGCGCACTTCCACCGAAACTGGGTGACTGCGCCCTACTAGATGGGGATTTGTATGCAAAATGTCACTAAAAGCGCCATTTCGTTCTTATAAAAGCACGGATGACCGCAATTGGCCCATATGTTGTAGTCTTTTGGACGCTGAGTCGACTGGTTTTGGTCCGAAAACGCTGCAATGCAGCGTTCCTCCTTTATTCCCAATCGAACATGGTTGAAGAAGTGGTCACGTGCTCCTGGGTGCCCAAATCACCTGGTCACCACGCCAGCAGGCGACAACTTTCACACCAAGGTTCAACTCGAGCTCAACTCGAGTGACAGGACTGCACTCAAAAATGGTCAAACAGGCTTGTAAGTATTAGTTGTACCCTGCAGGCACGGTGACCTGTTGACTGGTGTACGCAGGAGCACGTGACCACTTGTTCGACCATGTTCGATTGGGAATAAAGGAGGAACGCTGCATCGCAGCCTTTTCGGACCAAAACCAGTCGACTCAGCGTCCAAAAGACTACAACATATGGGCCAATCGCGGTCATCCGTACTTTTATAAGAACGAAATGGCGCTTTTAGTGACATTTTGCATACAAATCCCCATCTAGTAGGGCGCAGTCACCCAGTTTCGGTGGAAGTGCGCGAGTTCGATTGGGATTCAAGTAGGAAGGGAGCGTCTCAGCTTCCTCGGACCAAGACCATTCGACTCAGCACCCCGAAGACTACAACTGGTGAAATTTTAATTTTTGCCTTAACTTCCCCTTTAATTATATCACCAACGCATGCAATCCATAAGACGAATTGTATGTCCAGAGCTTCAAGCAAATGGTTGATTCTGGATATGTGTGTTGTTTGGTATGTGTGCGTGTTTGGTGGCGTGTGTTTGGGTGTGTGTGTGTACATGTGTATGTGCACCCTCTCTGTTGTACATTCTCCAGGGCTAGGTGAGCTTCTGAAGATCTCTACTGGATAGTGTTTAGCAGTTGAGATTGGTGAAAGTGACCAGCACTGGACAGGGATCATTTCAAGCAGCTACTGCAGTAAGAGATACTCCAACAGCACACTACCTGTCATTGATCACAACACTATGACATCACTTGTATAGACATGATGTATACAGATTGTCTATGACACACACAGTGTTGTGTTACTATGTAGATATAATGATCAACTGAACTACATGTACTGTCTAGTCCAGTCTACTGTGGTATCAGTTTTACTGAATGTGTTCATGTCTACTCTCACCTACTGTTTTTACACTAGTCACTGTACAGAATAGTTACCGGTATGTCAGTTAAACCTGCAAAACTCTACTCTACAAATGTTTATACTGCAATGTATATTGCCATAGAAGTGTCAGCCATACCCTGTACATACAAGTTCATGCTACTATCCTTGAGATACACATCATATTTTACTCCTGTATTGAAATCTAGCAGCACTGCTAGCATTCGTGTGACAAAATAATGCCTGTTGCAGCCGCTGTGTGCTATCACGTCAAAGCATGAAGCATCACAAATGTAGCCATGATTCGACCTGAGCAAGCACAGACCGCAGCTCCTTCCACATTGTTTCCCATTGTGGCCCGCTTTCCAGTAGCCCACAGGATTTTTCCTGCCTGAACATGGCAATGTGTCCAAAATCCGATATGTTTGTGTGTACGTACGAGCACGCGCATGTTGGTGCATGTGTGTGTGTGTGGGTTTGTGCACCTGAATGTGTGTGGTGGGGGGGGGGGGGGGAGGTGCACATTGATGTGCATGCACGTGTGTGTGTGTGTGTTTGTTGTGTGGGTATATACATACTCAGCGGGACAGCATGCCAAACTAGAGTGTGCCCATTCATTACAAGCTCATGAACGGGATCCTACCTCTGCCAGTATTTGTATTATCTTACCATCAGTAATATGCAGCAGTGTTGTAATGATCAAATTCATCATGGTTAAGATCTACAATGTACTGTCGTGAACATTGAAATCAGATGGGATGACGGGACCGACACCCTTACATTTGTTTGCACGTACAATACACTATAGTTAATGTACATGCAGTAAAGATGGACCAGCAGTGCTCGCGCCTGCAAGGCCAGCGCCCAGTGGCCGCTTGACTTCTCAACGGATTTCAAAGTCCACGACAGTACCTTGAAGTGTAGATACATGGAGGTGGCAAACGTCACGAACCATGATTCTGTGGCGATACTGCGCCTAGAGATCACTGGCCATGCTCATAGGCAGTGACAAGAGTATGTAATGTCTGCGGGGGCGGGGGTCTGAGCCCTCTGGATGTGGATGAGCAGATAGTTTAGATTTGCCGCGAGCGCAATGGCACACAGTGTTCAAAACGGGCTCGGGGGGGGGGGGGGGTGCCAACAGCAAGTTGCAGTGTCGGCATGCCAGTATCGTACAGGCACGCCTAGACTACATGTGATTTCAGGCTTCATATTTCAACACTTTGTATGAAGTAAGCGTAGTAGTTCAAGTATAAAGTATCTTGAATAGTGACACAATTAAGTACCGCTAGTCGGGTACAGAAAACAGAGTGACTTGGGAGCAAGTAGTACTGATGTCATAGCAGTACAGCCGGAAAGTAGTACTGATGAGTGATGACATAGCCAATGCCCTGCTTGTAACTTAAACATATTCATAATACCGGTACTGTCCCTCTCCATGCTTCCAGGATGGTGGAAATGCGGAAATTGAAATGGAAAACAAATTGTGAACGGCCCTAGGTGAGAAAGAGAACATAAATTCTTGGTGATGGTCGTCGGAAACAATGCACATTGGCTATGAGAGTTGTCACTGATAGGACTGGAAGATTGAACAATGTGATGTCGTTATTTAACCACCTATGATAGAACACAGATTGGGCCGAGCTAGGGCACTAGTGAATTTGCCACAAAAAAACCCATAGCTATGTGAGTAAAAATATTAATATCAAAGGCATACCTGAAGTAGTGACGGTAGCTAAGTGTAATTTGTCCATGTGACCAGCATTGATGGCGGATATGCTAAAATACATATACATGTAGAGTAGTGATGATACTAGCATTGAAACTGGAGAATGGGACGGTCAAGGGTGGACTGTGAGGAGACTAGCATTCAAACTGGAGAATGGGACGGTCAAGGGTGGACTCTGAGGAGACTAGCAACAGCAGTGAGGGTGCACACACGCACATGCACTGCCAACTTGACCTTTTTACTGGCATTTCTTCGGTTCGTCCGGAATCAGAACGTTGGCTGGGGTGGTGCCAAGTAGCATGGAATGGCGCTCGTACGACTTTGATTTACGGAAGCGACTGTCCGTGCCATACAGAAAATCAAAGATTCCTGCAAAGCAGCAGCCAACATAAACAAAAAAATAATGTCAGTTTTTATAATTACACAGTAGGTATCGGTTATAGCGTGGGTGTTTGAAAAACGACTTTCTATTTTTATATCCGATATTAAATATTTTCAAGTGTGTAATAAATTTTATTACACACGATATTGAAAATCAAGTGTGACATATCATGTGCATGTGCGCAGAGTCAGGAAGATCATCCTACATGCAATGTAGTGCTATTGTGCATGCGGCTGGTCATAGTCCCATAGCCTCATAGCCTTACCATTGTGGCTATGCAACATGAGTTACATGACCACAACAGTTGAACTTGCAGCACTACGTAGTCTACGACCCAACGCTAGTCGGATGAGAACTGCATTGGACAGATGTTATTACTACAGGCGATATACTTTGTACTAATCTGGTGTGTTTTGCTACGCAAAGTCCATTTTTAGGACCGATATATTCGGCTGTCCGATAAAATTGCTTGTAAGAATAAATGTGCACTTGAAACCCATGTTATGATTATGAAAACATGAGAGTTCATTCTTGTAGGTAGTATATTCTTTTACATGACCACGCTATAACCGATACGCACTGTACGAGGTACACAAACTCACCGGCAGGCACATGGGGCTAGCATGGAGTCAGCAGTGAGATGGTGCTGGTAGGGCCTGCCATGCACAACTGACCAGAGGTCTCGGCATCATCGAATGGCAGACACACCAAACTGAGGGCATTGTAGTGCATTGCATCAGAATCAGACAATACATATAGGAACATTCATGGTCAGAAGAGACAACAACCATGACACTGGTATGCAAGTGAACTGCTGGAAACAGGGAATATTTCTTTTCTGTTGTTGGAGGCAGGGACTGGGGGAGTAATACAGTCGTCACTAAAGAAATCCAGCCAATGCCATGGATACATGTACAGTGACATGGTGCCTGTCACAATCGCATTCATGCATTTACAGTCATTAGAGAGTCTACCAGCATAGCACTGAACTAAAACAGTCCGCGGCTCTGCACTCTGCCTGCTGCAGTCGAGTCGAGCACAGCACAGACTGTGCACTGCAGAGCACAGTCCCGACGGCAGAGCATGTGCCATGCACTAGGCTTGTACACTAGCACTAGCAGTGGCAGTGCATGCTACCCATGCACAGTACAGCTACCGGTAGCAGTGGCAGTGCACGCTGCCCATGCACAGTACAGCTACTGGTAGCAGTGGCAGTGCATGCTGCCCATGCACAGTACAGCTACTGGTAGCAGTGGCAGTGCATGCTACCCATGCACAGTACAGCTACTGGTAGCAGTGGCAGTGCATGCTGCCCATGCACTGCCACTGCTACCAGTAGCTAGCATAGCATTGGCCGGATTGTTTGGCCACGACTGTATTCTTCTCTGTGCAAATTTCGAAAAGTTAGCAAGTGGCTTTATACATGCAGTCAGAACATTGGGGGGGGGGGGGGGGCTCAAGTCAGATTTTTGTGTTCACCGCCTCCCATGTATGTGCAAGGTATTAGTACATCTACCAATCAATGGAGAATGCACACACTACACTACTAACTTTGCATGATGGTAGTCGTGGTACTCGTTGGACGGCATGAACGGCAGGTGGAAGCCGCAGTGTGCGACGAACACGGAGGCCAGCGAGATACAGGCCCACAGCAGCAGCAGCAGCATACAGTGAGAGCCGAGCAGGACGGGACCAGCCATTACCGGCAATATGTTTGAGAGGCAATGCTCGACCGGGTGACAGTACAGACCAGAGATTCTGATGGGCGCGATCCACTCGTGGTGAAACTTGTGAACGTGTTCAGTCTTCATCGCTGCCAAGCTCCTCAAGAGGCTTCAGCACCTGGACTATCCTTTCTGCTTTCACTCACTGTAATAATGGCTGGCAACCCTGGCCACGTCATTGGTCACAAAGCTCGCTAGCAGTGGTCACTCGCCCCATGTCCGAAATTTCGAGACCTCTGTCTCATACTCTTGGACCATACATGTACCGAACCAACTGTATAGATCCGATAGAACAACAGGACACGTGCACTATTGCAGGCAACGATTTACATCTGTTGACCATCTAGCCACGCACTGAATTATTTCCATTTTGACGTTTGAATAGAATAATCTGATGTTCAAATAATATCCAACACGCAGTTCAGTTCAGTTGGCTCAGTCCTCCAGTCTGCGGTCATCAACATCATGCCATTCATCGCGATCAACACGCGTTCTCTTACAACTCGGTCTGGCTTTCTTCAATCTTGACCATTATCACTACCATACTACAACAGCTTACTCGATTCATATCACTGCAATCATCAGCCAATAATCCAAGGAACCGAAAAAATCCTATCAGCTATGTCAGATCAACGCTTTCTTCGTGCACGCATGCGCCATGGCAACCATGACCGGAGTCGGAGGCTGGCGGAGAGTCGGAGACCTCACCCGGCCCGGTAGAACTTAGAAGTCTACCCTCACTCAGGCCCAACGCCGGCCAAATGCGAAGGCTACTGCCACTTGCCAGTAGATCTACTGCCTGGCTGCACCGACCGCGTTGCCGTTGTCATCTCCTTCCGACTATTTTTTAGTATTTTTTACTATTCTCTTAGTGCTGATACTGATACAGTGATAGCGAAGAGCCCAGGCGATCGAGCTGATGCTGAACATTTCAAGCGTGATTTTCGAAGAATTGTTTGCCTCCATGAAATTCGCTCTGTACCTGAGCCACAGCTGATGAACGGCTTGTACTTGAAAGTACGTGTTATTGCTTGAGAAAAGACAACTCTTTGATCCTAAGAAGTTATGCAGTAACTCGATTTCGATCGTGATCAGTCCGCAGTGCGAGTGAACTGTGGTCACGCGGACAGGCAGGAGTGTGAACAATGGCAGACAGGGTGCGCTATAACATAGCCTTCCTACTTTCCAATCTTGATGCATCCGTGATCTTGGAACTCTTGCTGGAGAATGATGTGCTGGACGTTGATGAATATGATACTGCCTCTAGCAAGGAAAACGTGAAGTCTGATCTGACAAAGTACGTGGTGAGGCTGATGCTGAAGAAAACAGAGGAACAGGTCGACACGTTCCTGAGGCTCATTCAGCACAGCCAGCCTCATGTAGCGGAACATGTCGCCAGTACCATGGCAAAGCGACGCGATGCAACTGCCAGTGGGAAAACTGACCATCCGACGAAGCCAATATCAATGTCGGCAGATGATGAGTCCACACTTGGCTCGTTCTCCGGTAAGTCTTCACATTGATTACAGTGGCGTAGGAAGATTGGGGTGGGGGCTCGTTGAACATTCGTGTAACTACATGACTTGTACAGTTCTGTTCAATGAAATCCAGTAGCATCACTCAAGTACGCGCTGGGCGTTGCGCAGCCCTAGACCTGCAAACACTGGGCTGTGAAATGGTGCAAGGCGCAAACTTGAGTGACACGACTGGATTTCATTGCGCAGCACTGTACTTACTTGTTAGCAGTGAGAAGTGCTTACAGAGATCAATTAGTTTATGCATTCACATCAATCGTATTGAGAGCTGACCCTGGGTGGGTTCAGGTAGATGGACAGTCCTGAGGTTATAACCAGATCTACATGACGATTCTGTAAATGTACAAGAAATGCAGGTGCCACCGGCGTGAAGCACTGTCATGGGTCACTAGATTATTGCTAGGGAGTTCAGTTCCAGCCTGGGTCAGGTGAAAACTGCAGTCACAACTTGCGTGTACATTTACAATGGGGCCCGTGTGAAAGCTCTTTGGCCTGACTTCGAGCCCGCCCCCTTCTATCTGATCCCGTGGCCAGTACTCCCTTGTCGATGCTATTTTAGGTAGCTGAGGTCATCGCCTTTCCATTGATGCCACACATGCCATGCTTGAACAAAAAAGGTGGAGCCGTGGTTTGCACAGAGGCATAGCGAAGTACTGATCTCAACCAGATTCATACTCGGCCCCGGCAGGTACACCCAATTTCCGTGTTCAGCAGCCTCGAATTAGTCTAAAACAAGAGCATTCTAGAACATTTAGCCTCGCACTTTATCGCAGTAGAAGGGGAATTATCACAGAAGCCAGCCCACAGCGATTTCCCGATGTTGGACGTAAAAATCGAGTGAATTGCCCGCTCACTGTAGAAGCTGTGACGGTGAAAGCATGTGAGTTGTGCAAGCAGGCACACCCGACATGCATGCCGTGCAGCACATGCATGCACACGGCGCCATGCATGTGCACATCCTGTACCGCCATGCACTTCAATTCGCACGCGCATCTATGCACCAAATAGTGCAGTGCTGGACGGAAACCACACCGTCCCCATTCATACTTGAATTGCTTTCTGTGACTGCTCAGTTGTTCATTTTCCAAACTTCAATCATAGCTTTAACTTTGGTTTAGGTAAAGTAAAAAGTAATTTATCGTGTCCGTTCCTGAAGGGAACTCACGACGGCCGCTAACACCCGGTAACCCCTAGCGGCATTGCCTTTGGATTGCCTTGGAATTTATGTTTCAAACTTTCGCAGGTCGTTTCTGAAACCTTCCCGGTTCGCAAAAAATAGCGTTTCATGCGAAACTTTCGAATATGATTTTTCGTTTGAAGTTCCTATTATTGCTTTGCATCGTAGCTGCTGATGAGTTTTGTTTTTCTCAAGTTCTGCAGTTTACTTCGAAATCGCAAACATTGCTTTAGTCGGAGTCAGTTGGTCTAATTGCCACGCCGGCAGCAGCTATAGTGCAGCATTCCAGAGAATACCACTTTTCAGACAAAATGTTCAACTGAGACTCAGTACAGTAGTTCTTGGAGAGAGAAGATTGCAAAGTACTTTGGCGGCAGAGTTAAATTTGAACATTTCCATGGAAATACTAAGCCCAAGGCTACAAGCCATTATTCAATGACCTCCAAAAGATCTCACTAAGTCAAGATGGTCATCAACACCATTGTGGAAAATACTCTATCAGTGGAACATGACTTTGTTACTAGTCATAGAGTTCTACCACAACCGCTAGTAGGAGATAAGCCCGGGGTTCTGGTTTGTAATAGCTGCAACCGGGGCGTTATTTTCTAACTTGAACTTATCCCTCTGTCATTGCTCAGTGAACAGAACAGTCTGAGAACACTACCAGTACTATGATTTTTTAACTTACTTTCTCCGTTCAGTTAAGCAAAACTTCTTAATAGGGTTTTTGAACTCGGATAGCGTTTTAGTGTTCTGTTTATGATCTTTCTATAGGCATTAGACACACATGTCAGTGATCTATCCCCCCCCCCCCCCCAGATAGGGTAGCCATGGTGACATCCATTACTCTGATAGGCTTAGAACCTCCGATACGCGTGGAGTCCTTTGGAGAAATTTAAGAAGTATAGCCCTGTCCTGACAGGATGTCACCAGAACACACCCACAAGCGCACAACACCGAAGTGAGAAATGAGAAACAGAGCCTTACAAAAACCATTCCTGTGAGCTCCTTGGCCCAGGGAGATTGCAAAAATGCCTGTCAAGAACAATACTGAAAATTATACCGGTATCACCGCCAACAATACCAGTTATTGTGCGCACAAGACGGAAAGCCATGAAGATCCCCAATCAAAAGGACGTCACTCTTCATGCCGCAGAATTCACGGCAGGTAGACCGCTGACAAAGATCAAGAAGCTGTTCGCGTAGCTCTTCTCAGACTTCCCAAGTTCTCTAAATCTCAAGGTAAAATTTGTGCACAAACAACTCAAGTTGTACTTCAAAGTAGATCTACCATGAGCAAGTATCAAGTGCCGCTCCGGTGTCAGGACTCAACTGGTCACGCAAGCGGAAAGAGTGAGTGCGTTCGATTATGACCGCAAAACGATGTTGAATCCATTCATGAAACGTCCCTGGCTATTCACATCACCCCATGTTAGGGAAAATGGATTCCAAACTGATTCCAGGGCTACATGACATGAAATCCAACGACAAGATTCCATTCATGAATCAATTAATGGCTGTAATCGAACGCACCCAGTGTGGCCGAGGAGCCGGTCAAAAGTTCACCACTGAAATCGCACAAAAGCTGATTGTTGTAAACAATCAGAACTGGGGTCGATTGTCGTTGAACTGACTAGCCAGCAAGCTGGTAAGAGAAGGAGTAAATTTCTCACCTGTGACTGTTTGAGCTAGGTGCAAGGTGCTTCAGATGCGGAGACGGCGACGATACATCAAGCCGGATTTGACAGCCGAGCATAAAATAAAGCGCATGAAATTTGTCCTCTCCCAATTGAATTACCAGACCATGAAATTCTCCGACCTGAAAAACGAGACACATGGAGGCGAGAAGTGGTTCTACATGATGCATGACAAGGATGGGACAGAAAATGTGGTGGTTTCACGAGGATGCAGCATACACAACCAGTGATGCTGGTACAGTCAAACCTAGCTTATCCGGTCCTCTTTTATCCAGATCCCCCGCCATCCGGAAGAAAATTGTTAGTTACCGATTTACAGCATATGCCATGCATACAACACATACTGTATGTCATACGGTATGTGTGTTCGATTATCCGGTTCCCTATCAGATATTTTCGTGGAAAACGGATGTGTGCGGTTATGCGAGGTCTGATCTCAACGCGGACGACTTGGCGTTCTTCCACAACCTGCAGACCGACGTGTCACTAATGGCGAAGGAAACCAGAAAAGAGCTCAGAAGTTCTGGAGGCTTCTGGAGGCTTTGTCTGAAACGTGCTGGCAGGAGAACCCTGCTGCCAAGATGAAAAGCATTAAATTTTGGTTGTGCCGCTATGGCACCTTCCATGGCATTCTGGAGAGCGGCGGAGAGAAACACTGCCGACAGCGGCACCGTGCAAATCGTCAAGCTCACAGTTCAAGCAAAGAAGTACGATCATTTTTTTCTCAGCATCTTTAAAGATTACGGAGCAAGAGCTGTCAGTGTGTCAGCGCTGTAGACGGGAGTCAGCGAGGAAGCAGACTCAATGCAGGGAATGAGTTGTCATCGGATTCAGATGAAGAGAGAGAAGCTGGACCGCGAGGCTTCGAAACAAACTGTGTGACATCTATAAACTACTACCTCTCGTATGCTGCTTTGTTTCCCCTCTGCGAAGTGTGTTGTAGCCATAGAATGCTTTTGACGGAACTGTAAAATATATGCAACAATGTTTCGCTTAACAAAGGAAGCGCGGCCATGACACATCCCTTTTGAAAGAGTTTTAAAACTTACAATAGGTTTATTCATACTTTCTGTTTCCTTGGTAGGTATCACCATGGCAACAGTTGGCAAACAGAAAACACAGCCATTGCAGCACACAGTGGGGGGTGGTCAGGCAGACCAACAACGGACGTC